ATTTAATTTAATTTAATTTAATTTAATTTAATTTAATTTAATTTAATTTAATTTAGGTGCCACCAGACTCCAAATAACTCTTGCTTAGGCTTTTTAAATTTCACAAGGATTTGGAAAAAGCTAAGAAGGAAACAAAAAGACCAGAACACATCCTCTCCAGCAGCTTACACCCAGATAAGCAGGGATTAACACCAGACAAATAGTCAAGCAGAAAACAATGCCCTAATCAAGGAACTACCAAGGAGGAAACCACTCCCCCACCATCACTGGCCGCACCAGCTACTGTATATAAACAGGGAGCAAACCCCACACTCCCTTGCCCTGATGATGTTACCTAGTTGGGTAATGAAACATCTGCAAGCAAACAACCAAGCACAGAGAGCACCAAGAACTCCACAGTTCAACCCTGAGCTACATATGTTCTCTTCTACTGGAATATATCATTGCCTTACAAGGGCACTACTTACCTTATAGAATTTGGATACCACATGGCCTGCTGCTACGCCAGATGTCCCTTCTGATGGACCGAAGTTAAAAACAGTCTGCAATAGAAAGAAAACTAGAACTAAATGGGTGAGAAATCCAACCATGTTTTTAGTAAAGTAAGGTTATTAACATTCAAAAATGTCTTCCCCTTATGAACAAAAAGGACGTAATTATGATCTTTTAAAGCACATTTTGCTGGCTCTCTTATTTGCCTTTCATGCTCTAATTCTAACTTCATGTTGAAAGCATAGCAAACTAACATTTAAAAGGTGTACTTTTTAAAGCAGTTGACTATTTATTCTGCCAACATGCTTCTATATGTTCAGAACAGATATAAAAGTTGACCAAGACATTCTGCAGGGCTTTTGAAAGCTAAAAGTAGGCAATTATGGTTATTTTACTGTCAATAACTGTTATTTTATAGGATTTTGTTGTGTTATTTATTTCAGATTTTATATCTCATTTCATTGTACTTGTTGTATAATGATAGGAAAGATCCAGTGCTATGTAAATTTAATCAATCACTCAATATATAACTCTATAGCAACACACATATAAAGTGCTATAAAGCATGACTATTTATTTCAAACTTACTCAACCTTGTGCTCCAAAAGCTTCCCAGCAGATTATAGAGAATCATTATTGCCTTTCTGGGAAGATATCAGTGCCTGGACAGAATGGGACTAAACAAGGATACAAGATGATTAATAGTGTAATCCTATGCACGACTACATGGAAGAGTGCTTCACTGATTCATATGAGGTTTAGTCCCAGGGAAGTGAACATAAACTGTAGCCAGAAGAACTCCCAGGTGAGCCTGTCTTTGCACAGCTGCATCGTCATGACCTTGTGTCTTCAAAGGTTGCATGGACTGGCATAATATTGATTGATTGATTGAATTTATATGCTGCCCATCTCCCCCAGAGGGCAACTAGTTGGGGAAATGTTTTACTTTGGGAAACTTATCAGCTATCTGACTTCTGGTAAAAGCCACTCTGTTTCACCAGACTTTAAAAGTATTTGTGATCTGAGGGTGATTAACATCAGTCTCTCATCATGATTAGCCTGAGACTTGCAGCTACCACTGACATCAGTAGGGGGAATGGGGACATTTAAACTGGTCCATCCTGGGTATCTTATGGATCTTCTTGGGTTTCTAACAGGTGCTTCAGGAATTTCCCAGCAACCTAGTGGGCAGCATTATTTTGGGCTCTGGAACCCTCCTGCTAGCCTTTGGGAGCATTTGCCAAGCATTTTGAGACAAACTTGCTGGATTGTTTTTAGGGACTTTTTTCATATTGCAGCCTGTAAGCTGCTTAGAGCCACATATATAGACGGCATAAAAGTGCTGGAAATAGATAACAGGTGACATTTTTCCTCCTGCTGTGAAATTGCACATTGATTAGCTTTGTAACTTACTATTCACTTTATTATCTTCATTTTACTCTGTTTTAAATGATGACGATGATAAAAGCAGCCCTTGGGGGATTGCAAGAACTGAAGGGCAGGAGAGAAATAATTTTATGCGAAAACAGAATATTAAATTAAACCCTCACATGGGAGATGGATTCTTAACAAGGTCAGTTTCAAACCCAGTAGCTGTGTTTCCATAACCTGCTAAGTTTGGTTTGTTTTAACTCTGGTTATAGTTTTTGTACAGGTAATCCTCGCTTACCAATGGCAATTGGGACTGGGAACTCCATTGCTAAGCAATGTAGTCATAAGGCACAATGTCACATGACCGCGCCAACTTACAACAGGCGTTCCGGTAACTTTGGACAGTTGCTGAATGATCAGGTGTCATGCAAGGACTACCTGTACTTCTGCCTGTTTAATTCATTTAGATTTCAATGTACTGGGCAAACTAGAAAACAGATTAATTTGGGAATCAGGTGAAGCATATACTGTACTATCAATGCAACCCCCAGACAGGAATTGTGGAGCCACTGGATTTGCAGTTAATTATACGCAGTTAATAAATCCTTTAGACCAGGGTTCCTCAACCTCAGCAACTTTAAGATGGGTAGATTTCAACTCCCAGAATTCCCCAGCCAGCCATGCTGGCTAGGGAATTCTTGGAGTTGAAGTCCACCCATCTTAAAGTTGCTGAGGTTGAGGAACCCTGCTTTAGACCTTTTCAGGTGAGAAAAAGCATAACTGTTGCAATGAAGAAGCTACTTCTGTTTTTTGCTAATGTATGTATCTATGTGGTCACTAGGCATCCAAAACGACTTGATAGCAAATAATCAATCAATCATGGATGCATGTGCTACAGTAGATATCACTGTAGAGTCTAAAGCAGCATTTTTCAAACTTGGCAACTTTAAGATGTGTGGACTTTAAATTCCCAGCCAACACGAACTGAAGTCCACACATCTTAAAGTTGCCGAGTTTAAAAAACACTCGTGTAAAGCTACAAAGAAGCATTTTCAGTTTTGTTTAAAAATAAAATAGCAAGCTGCCCAGTTGGAAACCACTTTTTATTATTTGACCAAACACTGTACCTCTTCTATCCTGATTAACTCAGTGTAAACTATAGCTTGGAGAGTCATCTAGTGGTGGTTAGAAAAACATCAAGAGAAAAGAATGATGAGCATCAAAAATAAAAAATAATGTAAACACTGCATTCCAGTGTGTACATACCACCCTACATACAACATACTACAGGTAATCCTCGCTATCTGACCACAATAAAGGCTGGAATTTAGGTTGCTAAGTGAGTTGGTTGTTAAGCGAATTGGAGCTGATTTTATAACCTTTTTTTAACAACAGTCATTAAACAAATCACCATGGTTGTTAAGTGAATCACATGGTCGTTAAGTGAATCCAGCTTCCCCAATGGACGTTTTTGCCAGAATTCGCTTCAATCACTTGAATTTGATTAAACCACTTGATTTGCTTAATAACCACGTGATTCACTTAACAACCTTTGTAAAAAATCATCATGTGACCATGGAGGTCGTAAAGCACTTTTCCCAAGGTCATCGTAACTCTGGACCATCATTAAACAAGCAGTCGTTAAGCAAGGACTACCTGTAGTCTAAGTTACTTTATCACATACTGGCATTCTGGGAAAAGCTGCTACTAAATACTTCAGTTATCGGTAAGATGTCAATATTAATACTATGTTTAAAGTACTTGGCCTTTGTTTCTATGAACAAGTAATAATACAGAGCAATTTCAGACCAACTTGAAGAATTTTTTTTTATATTGGAAGTTGTAGAGGACTACAGAGATGGCTTTGAAGTAGGAACAGGTGAAGGATGAGGAAAAAACTCAAGATTGCCCCACCCTGATTCTCCTTAGTATAAGAGCAGAGAAAGAATCTCTCTTAAGATTTGGTTAGTATACCCTATAACAATAACAGAATTCCAGTAGTTCATGCAGGGTCTGTTTTCTGACCTGGTCTACTGCTGAGCACTGAAATGATATTTTGATGCCCCTTAAATATTATCCATATCATTTACACACCCACATCCACATGAACAACTGTGTTATTAAAGTGTACTACTAAAATGAAAGTATAACTGAGTATGTTACTAAAATTTAAGTGTAACTAAAATTCAGATGAAATGCAATTCTGTGCAGAAAAATGTGAAGAAAATTAATCACAGTTCATTGCTCTTTCAGTATTTTGAGATCTAAAAAGTATGCTTAGGACCTACTGTTTTACAAAAAAAAAAAAGGAAAGACTGAGATTTTGGTTTTGGGTATACAAAAATAATAATTCTGAGTAAATACAGTTATTTATTATGTAGAAATATATAACCTATTTCTCAACAGAAATGAGAAAATTGTTTAAATACATTGCTTAAATAAACAAACAAACAAAAAAATAAATATATTCAGAATTAGAAAGTGCCCCTTATCCTCACTCCTTCTGAAGACATTTCAAGACATGGCTCTTCTGTCACGTCTTTGGTGATTGATGTAACCTGAGTGAGAGATGCCCTACAATTTGTGTTGAAGTTATTATTTGTTATTGTGTCATTGGATTACTACCGTATTTTATTCTGGCAAGATTATTATGTTCCTTGTACTTACTGACTGTACAATGGTTTGTTCACATGAAGCAGTAATAGAAATCTTATCAACAAACAAATAAAACGAAGCCAGCGTTCTATGGTCTTAAGACTTGGAGGAAGGCACTACCTTCTACTCTATATGGTCATTTTAAGAGAGAGCTTTTAGAATATTCTGCTTACAGGATAACTTATTCCTCTTTGGTTAAGAAAAAAATATACAGGAGTTAATGAGCTTTGTGATGTGCTATCATACATTAATGGACCTGTTATAAGATTATAAAATATTGTTAATTAATTGATCCAATATAAGAAATTTCTGGATATAATTCACTACTAGATTATGTAATTTTTTAAAGATGCAATGGGTTTCTCAAAACTAGAGAAATAACTGATAGCAAAATAATAGTCCTCTTCTACAACAATTCTCCAGCAGCTGGTATTCAGGGACTGTTCCTTTTGTAGCAGATAGTCATCATGACTGGTCTGTACTGATAGCCTTATTCTCCAGGACCACGTCTAATCTCCATTCTACAGCCATGTAAAGTTGGTGGCCATCACCATATCCTGTAGAAGCTTAGACTGTACAAGTTCAATCTTATCTCCTCCAGTGAATCCCTCTGTCTCTCCCTCTCATACCCACCTCGCTCTATGTGTACATGTATGTATATTTAGGTGTGTGTGTGTGTATTGTAGTTCTCAAAATACACAAATGCAGCCTAATGAACACTGTTCCAGTTGTTGCCACAAGACAAATATAATTTTCATGATATATCACAGACACACGGTACAACAATCCTATGCAAACTCAAGCATCGCAACTACACACAGTTGTAGGCCAAGCATAGAATCACAAAAGTGGTTTTGACTATCCTAGTTAGTAAATATTAGCTTGCCTCACATTTACATGACACATACCATGAAGTTATTTCCCAAATCCTTTACCTACAAACACCCGACTTTCTAAATTTTCTTTCAATAATATCTTTCAGTCTTTATACACAACCACCATGGAAGCCACACAAATGTTTACCTGAATTACATCTGCAAATTTATGCAATCCAGAAGTGTTAGTGAATATCCCAGCACCTAGAGTAAAATAAGTATTAAAACATTATTTCTATATCCAAAATCTGTGCCCATTACATACATTTAATATACTGTTTCCCACGTTTTGTTATTCACAACCATACACGTATACAGGAAGTTTAGAAGATGGTGTTAAATAAAATTATCTGAAATTCTGACCACTATTTCACAATATAAACAGAGATGATAATCTGAAGCCTTAAGGGCCAAATCCATCAATTCAGCCCCCAAAACCCCTTCAAAAATTAACACCAAATTATAAATGTTAAGAGAAGGGGGAAAATCAAATACATAGGAGCTCAATCCCTGGTGACTTCATGGAGGTTTCTTGGCAACAATATGGACATTGTATTGTAGAAGGCTTTCATGGCCGAAATACGATGGCTGGTGTGGGTCTTCCAGGCTGTGTGGCCGTGTTCTGGAAGTTTTGGTTCCATTCACCCCAATATACAATTCACCATGGAAAAAGAAATGGACGGCAAACTTCCATTT